TGACCACTGACCACACTGACCGCTGACCCCGTATCCCCCCAGGTGACCGCTCGGTGGCCATGGTGACATCGCTGGACGCCTCCGGCCACGGCCTGGCCTGAGCGCCCCGGCCTGGACATGCGGCCACGCGGGGGAGGGGCTGGGGACAGCGGGGACAGCGGGGACAGCGCCCGCCGGGGCGCCGCGACCTCCCACGGTGGCACCGGGACCTGCTGTGGGGACATTTCCCACGGTGGTGGCACCTCCCATGGCTTCGGTTCCCACGGTGGCACCTGCAACGGGGACATCCGCAACAGCGGTGGCACCTCCCGTGGGGACATCTCCAGCAGTGACATGTCCAGCAGTGGTGGCATCTCCCATGACATCATCACCCATGGTGGCATCTCCCACAGTGACATGTCCAGCAGTGGTGGCATCTGCCACGGTGACATTTCCTACAGTGACATCTGCAAGAGTGGTAGCACCTCCCTCAGTGACATCTCCCGCAGTGGTGGCACCTCCCACGGTGACATTTCCCATGGTGGTGGCATCTCCCATGACATCACTTCCCACGGTGGCATCTCCCACAGTGACATGTCCAGCAGTGGTGGCATCTGCCACGGTGACATTTCCCACAGTGGTGGCACCTGCAACGGTGACATCTGCAATTGGGGTGGCATCTCCCACGGTGACATTTCCTACAGTGACATCTGCAAGAGTGGTAGCACCTCCCCCAGTGACATCTCCCGCAGTGGTGGCACCTCCCACGGTGACATTTCCCATGGTGGCGGCATCTCCCATGACATCACTTCCCACGGTGGCATCTCCCACAGTGACATGTCCAGCAGTGGTGGCATCTGCCACGGTGACATTTCCCACAGTGGTGGCACCTGCAACGGTGACATCTGCAATTGGGGTGGCATCTCCCACGGTGACATTTCCTACAGTGACATCTCCAGGACTGGTGGCATCTCCCGTGACATCACTTCCCACGGTGGCATCTCCCATGGTGGCATTTCCCACGGTGGTGGCATCTGCCATGGCTTCGGTTCCCACGGTGGCACCTGCAACGGTGACATCTGCAACAGCGGTGGCACCTCCCGTGGGGACATCTACAGTGACATCTCCAGATGTGGTGGCATCTCCCATGACATCATCACCCATGGTGGCATCTCCCACAGTGACATGTCCAGCAGTGGTGGCATCTGCCACGGTGACATTTCCCACGGTGACATTTCCAACACGGATGGCATCTCCCATGGGGACATCTTCCATGGCATCATCTCTCAGGGTGACATTTCCTACAGGGACATCTCCAGCGGTGGTGGCATCTCCCACGGTGACATTTCCCACAGTGGTGGCATCTCCCATGGCATCGGTTCCTCCCAAGGGGACATCTTCCATGGCATCTCTAACACTGGTGGCATCTCCCACAGTGACATTGCCCACGGTGGTGGCACTTTCCGTGCTGGTGGCTCCTCCCATGGCATCACATCCCACGGTGGCATCTCACATGGTGACATCTGCAACAGTGGTGGCACCTCCCAAGGGGACATCTTCCATGGCATCACCTCCCATGGTGGCATCTCCCACAGGGACATTGCCCACGGTGGTGGCACTTTCCGTGCTGGTGGCTCCTCCCATGGCATCACATCCCACGGTGACAACTCCTTCCACGGTGACATTTCCCGCAGTGACACCTCCCGCGGGGACACCTCCAGCAGTGGTGGCATCTCCCGCGGTGGCATCTACAATGGTGACATTTCCAATGGTGGCACTTCCCACAGGGACATCTCCCATGGTGGCATCTCCCATGGCTTCCTCTCCCATGGTGGTGGCACCTGCAACAGTGACATCTGCAGCAGTGGTGGCATCTCCCATGGTGACATTTCCTGCGGTGGCATCTACAATGGTGGCATTTCCGATGGTGGCATCTCGCACAGGGACATTTCCCACACAGGTGGCATCTCCCACGGTGGCATCTCCTCTCATGGTGACTCCTCCTCTGGTAGCTTCTGCCATGGTGGCATCTCCCAGAAGAGTGACAACTCCCATGGTGACATCTCCAGTGGTGGTGGCATCTCCAATGGCGGTGGCATCTTGCATGGTGACATTTCCTGCGGTGACATCCCCCACGGTGGTGGCTCTGCTCATGGTGACATCTCCCACAGTGGTGGCATCTCCCACGGTGACATTTCCCATGGTGACATCTCCCACGGTGGTGGCCCTGCTGATGGTGGCACCTCCTGTGGCACCACCTCCCAGGGTGGCATCTCCGAAAGTGACACCTCCCGTGGTGGCATCTCCAGTGGTGGCATCTCCCAGGGTGACATCAGCCACAATGACGTGTTCCATGGTGGTGGCACCTCTCACGTCATGACGCCCCATGGTGGCACCTCCAATGGTGACATCTCCTATGGTGACATCTCCCATGGTGGTGACATCTCCAACGGTGACATCTCCTATGGTGACATCTCCCATGGTGGTGACATTTCCAATGGTGACATTTCCAATGGTGACATCTCCAATGGTGACACCTCCAATGGTGACATCTCCCACATGGACATCTCCCACTGTGGTGGCATCTCCCATGGTGGCATCTCCAACAGTGACACCTCCCATGGTGGTGACATCTCCCAGAATGGCGTCTCTCACGGTGACATCGGCCACAGTGACATTTCTTATGGTGGCGTCACCTCCCACAGTGGTGGCATCTCCCATGGTGGCACCTCCAGCAGGGACATCTCCAGCAGGGACATCTCTGACAGAGGTGGCATCTCCCGTGGTGTCACCTCCCATGGTGGCATCTCCAACAGGGACAACTCCGACAGGGACATCTCCCACAGTGGTGGCATCTCCCCTAATGACATCTGCCATGATGGTGGCTTCTCCAACAAGGACATCTCCAACAGGGACAACTCCGACAGAGGTGGCATCTCCCATGGTGTCACCTCCCATGGTGTCACCTCCCATGGTGGCATCTCCCATGGTGGCACCTCCAGCAGGGACATCTCCAACAGGGACAACTCCAGCAGGGACATCTCTGACAGAGGTGGCACCTCCCCTAATGATGTCTGCCATGATGGTGGCTTCTCCAACAGGGACATCTCCCATGGTGGCACCTCCAGCAGGGACATCTCTGACAGAGGTGGCACCTCCCCTAATGATGTCTGCCATGATGGTGGCTTCTCCAACAGGGACACCTCCCATGGTGGCACCTCCCATGGTGGCATCTCCCGTGGTGGCATCTCCCGTGGTGGCACCTCCAACAGTGACATCTCCCATGGTGGTGACGTCTCCTGTGGTGACACCTCCCATGGTGACACCTCCCATGGGATTGGCACCTCCCACAGTGACATCTCCAACAGTGGCACTTCCCATGACGGTGCCACCTCCCATGACAGTGACACCTCCCATGGTGACATCTCCCATGATGGTGCCACCTCCCATGGTGGTGGCATCTCCCAGGGCTTTGAGACCCCCCATGACGGTGCCACCTCGCATGATGATGTCACCTCCCATGATGATGACACCCCCCATGACCGTGCCACCTCCCACGGTGGTGACATCTCCCATGACAGTGCCACCTCCCATGGTGACACCTCCCATGACAATGCCACCTCCCACGATGGTGACATCTCCCATGACCGTGCCACCTCCCGCGGTGGTGCCACCTCCTACGGCTTTTCCACCCTCCCCCTGCCCTTCCTCCTGCTCCTCCTCCTCCTCCTGGTGCCCTGCCCCGTCCCCTCCCTGGCCGCCACCTTCAAGGTGGGCGTGCTGGGTCCCTGGAGCTGCGACCCGCTGCTGGCGCGGGCGCTGCCGGAGGTGGCCTCGCGCCTGGCGGTGGCGCGGCTCAACCGCGACCCGGCGCTGACCGCCGGCTACTGGTGGGACGCCGTGGTGATGTCCGAGGCCTGCGCCACGCCCCAGGCCGTGGCCGGAGTGGTCAGCGCCGAGCGCTACGCCAGCGCCATCGTGGGTCCCCTCAACCCCGCGGCCTGCGGCGCCGCCGGGCTGCTGGCCGCCGCCTGGAACAAGCCCTTGGTGTCCTGGGCGTGCGGCGCGGCCGGAGCGGCCGGAGCGGTCACTCTGGTCAGGCCGCTGCCCGCTCCGGCCGGCGTCCTGCACGCCGTGCTGCGGTATTTCCGCTGGGCGCACGTGGCCGTGGTGGCCGCGCCGCAGGACCTGTGGGTGGACACCGGGCAGGAGGTGGCCAGGGAGCTGAGGGCCAGGGGGCTGCCGGTCAGCGTGGTCACCGTGGCCGGAGAGGATGAGGAGGAGGCGGAGGAGGCGCTGAGGAGGGTCCAGAGGGCGGACGGGGTCAGAGGTGAGGGACGGGGGTGGCAGGGAGGGGCTGGAGGGGGGATGGAGGTGGAGGTGGGATGGAGAGATGGGGATGGAGGTTGGAGGGAGATGGAGATGGAGGTGGAGGTGGGATGGAGATGGAGGTGGGATGGAGATGGAGATGGAGATGGAGGTGGAGATGGAGATGGAGATGGGGAGATGGAGATGGAGGTGGAGATGGAGGTGGAGATGGAGATGGAGGTGGGATGGAGATGGAGATGGAGATGGGGAGATGGAGATGGAGGTGGGATGGAGAGATGGAGATGGAGGTGGAGATGGAGGTGGAGATGGAGATGGAAAGATGGAGGTGGAGGTGGAGATGGAGGTGGAGGTGGGGATGGAGAGATGGAGGTTGGATGGGGAGGTGGAGGTGGGATGGAGATGGAGATGGAGATGCCCTCCCCCTGCCCTTCCTCCTGCTCCTCCTCCTCCTCCTGGTGCCCTGCCCCGTCCCCTCCCTGGCCGCCACCTTCAAGGTGGGCGTGCTGGGTCCCTGGAGCTGCGACCCGCTGCTGGCGCGGGCGCTGCCGGAGGTGGCCTCGCGCCTGGCGGTGGCGCGGCTCAACCGCGACCCGGCGCTGACCGCCGGCTACTGGTGGGACGCCGTGGTGATGTCCGAGGCCTGCGCCACGCCCCAGGCCGTGGCCGGAGTGGTCAGCGCCGAGCGCTACGCCAGCGCCATCGTGGGTCCCCTCAACCCCGCGGCCTGCGGCGCCGCCGGGCTGCTGGCCGCCGCCTGGAACAAGCCCTTGGTGTCCTGGGCGTGCGGCGCGGCCGGAGCGGCCGGAGCGGTCACTCTGGTCAGGCCGCTGCCCGCTCCGGCCGGCGTCCTGCACGCCGTGCTGCGGTATTTCCGCTGGGCGCACGTGGCCGTGGTGGCCGCGCCGCAGGACCTGTGGGTGGACACCGGGCAGGAGGTGGCCAGGGAGCTGAGGGCCAGGGGGCTGCCGGTCAGCGTGGTCACCGTGGCCGGAGAGGATGAGGAGGAGGCGGAGGAGGCGCTGAGGAGGGTCCAGAGGGCGGACGGGGTCAGAGGTGAGGGACGGGGGTGGCGGGGAGGGGCTGGAGGGGGGATGGAGGTGGAGGTGGGATGGAGAGATGGGGATGGAGGTTGGAGGGAGATGGAGATGGAGGTGGAGGTGGAGATGGAGGTGGGATGGAGAGATGGAGGTGGAGGTGGAGGTGGGATGGAGATGGAGGTGGAGATGGAGATGGAGGTGGAGATGGAGGGGGAATGGAGGTGGAGGTGGGATGGAGGTGGAGGTGGAGATGGAGATATGGAGATGGAGGTGGGATGGAGGGGGAATGGAGGTGGGATGCAGACGGAGATGGAGATGGAAAGATGGAGATGGAGATGGAGATGGAGATGGAGGTGGAGATGGGGATGGAAAGATGGAGGTGGGGATGGAGATGGAGGTGCAGGTGGGATGGAGAGATGGAGGTTGATGGGGAGGTGGAGGTGGAGGTGGAGAGATGGAGGTGGAGATGGACATGGGGATGGAGGTGGAGATGGGGATGGAGGTTGGAGGGAGATGGAGACGGAAAAATGGAAGTGGAGATGGAGGTGGGGGTGGAGATGGAGGTGGAGGCAGGGATGGAGAGATGGAGGTGGGATGGACATGGGGATGGAAGTGAACGTGGAGATGGAGGTGGAGGAGGGATGGAGGTGGAGGTGGAGATGGAGGTGGAGGTGGGGATGGAGAGATGGAGGTTGGATGGGGAGGTGGAGGTGGGATGGAGATGGAGATGAAAAGATGAAGGTGGAGATGGAGAGATGGAGGTGGAGATGGAGATGGAAAGATGGAGGTGGAGGTGGAGATGGAGAGGGGATGGAGAGATGGAGGTTGGAGGGAGGTGGAGCTGGAGATGGAAAGATGGAGGTGGAGGTGGAGAGATGGAGGTGGGATGGAGGTGGAGACGAAGGTGGAGGTGGAATGGAGATGGAGGTGGGATGGAGGTGGAGGTGGAGATGGAGATGAACATGGAGAGAGGGATGGAGATGGAGGAGGGATGGAGGGATGCAGGGATGGATGGAGATGGTGGACATGGGATGGATGGATGATGGAGGGATGGATGGACGGATAGATGGATGGATGGACGGATGGACAGATGGATGGATGGATGGATGGACGGATGGACAGATGAAGGGTGGATGAAGATGGTGGACATGGGCAGATGAAGATGGTGGACATGGATGGATGCATGGAGGGACGGATGGACAGATGAAGGGTGGATGAAGATGGTGGACATGGATGGATGCATGGAGGGACGGATGGACAGATGAAGGGTGGATGAAGATGGTGGACATGGATGGATGCATGGAGGGACGGATGGACAGATGGACAGATGAAGGGTGGATGAAGATGGTGGACATGGATGGATGCATGGAGGGACGGATGGACAGATGGACAGATGAAGGGTGGATGAAAACAGACACAGCCAGAACAGCTGAAGTCCAGGCGCGGTGCCCGGCGCCACCACCCCACGCCCACGTCCCCGTGTCCCCGCGTGTCCCCGCGTGTCCCCCGGCAGTGGTGCTGATGTGCATGCACTCCGTGCTGCTGGGCGGCCGCGAGCAGAAGGTTCTCCTGGAGAAGGCCGAGGACCTGGGCATGACGGACGGCACCTTCGTCTTCGTCCCCTACGACGCGCTGACCTTCGCGCTGCCCTACCGCCGCGTGCCCTACCCCGTGCTGGCCAACAACACCAAGCTGCGCCTGGCCTACGACGCCGTGCTGACCATCACCATCGACTCGCCCGACGCCTCCTTCCACGAGGCCCTGGAGGAGGCCAAGGCGGCCTACGAGGTCCCCGCCAACCTCGACCCCGCGGAGGTGGGGCTGGGGGGCATCTCGAGGGGGTTTGGGGGGGTGTCTGGAGGGGTTGGGGGTGTCTCCAGGGGGTTTGAGGGCATCTCAAGAGCTTTCAGGGTGTCTTGAGAGGGTTTGAGGGCACCTCAAGAGGTTTGGGGGCATCTCGAGAGGGTTGAGGGTATCTTGAGAGGGTTTGGGGGCATCTTGAGAGGGTTGAGGGCATCTCAAGGGGGTTTTGGGGTACCTTCAGTGGCCCCCGGGGGGGGGGGGGGGGGGGGCATCTGGGGGGGGTTGGGGGGGGTGTCTGGAGGGGTTGGGGGTGTCTCAAGGGGGTTTGAGGGCATCTTGAGAGCTTTCAGGGTGTCTTGAGAGGGTTTGAGGGCACCTCAAGAGGTTTGGGGGCATCTCGAGAGGGTTGAAGGTATCTTGAGAGGGTTTGGGGGCATCTCAAGAGGGTTGAGGGCATCTCAAGGGGGTTTTGGGGTACCTTCAGGAGATTTGGGGCATCTCCAGGGGCATCTCTGGAGGATTGGGTGGACATGGCCACCAACTAGGGATGGAGGTGACTGTGGCCAAGGGGAGATGACCATGGCCAGTGGGAGATGACTGTGGCCATCTTGCCTTGACCATGGTTGATGGGAGATAAGTATGGCCAGCACAAGATGACCATGACCAACATGAGATGACCATGGCCAATGGGAGATGACCACAGCCAATGGGAATTGACTGTGGCCATCTTGTGTTCCCCATGACCATCTTGGTTGACCATGGTCAATGAGAGACAACCATGACCATCTTCATTGACCATGGCCAATGGGAGACGACCATGACCACCTTGGTTGACCATGGCCAATGGGAGACAACCATGACCATCTTCATTGACCATGGCCAATGGGAGACGACCATGACCACCTTGGTTGACCACGGCCAATGGGAGATGACCATGGTCAATGAAAGATGACCATGGCCAACACAAGCTGACCGTGGCCACCTCCACTGACCACGGCCAACACCAAACAACCACACCCAACCCAACCCAACCCAACCCAACCACCCCGAGCTGGCCACCCTGGCGTCACCCCCACGTCCCACCTGTCCCCCCGCCAGGTCCACCCGCTCTTCTCCACCATCTACAACTCCATCTACTTCCTGGCCACGGCGGTGGAGGCCGCGCGCCGCAGCGGCCGCTGGGTGATGGGCACCAGCGTGGCCGACCACGCCCGCGACTTCCAGCTCCAGGGCTTCTGCCAGACCTTCACCGTGGACCAGGACGGCGACGTCTCGGTGCCCTACGTGGTGCTGGACACGGACGGCAAGGGCCACCACCTGTGGGCGGTCTACGGGCTGGAGCCGGGCACGCGCGGCCTCAGCTACCGCAGCCACAGCCCCCACTGGCCCCACAGCGCCAGCCCGGCCACCGACGCCGGCTGCTGGTTCGACTCCGGCGCCATCTGCAACGGCGGTGAGCGGGGTCACCCGTGGGCTGGGAGGGGAGGGGTGGTGGTAGAGGTGGGTCTGGGTCTGCTGTGGTGCCACCATGGTGCTGAACCAGTGGTCCCCTCCCTGGTCGTGGTGCCACCATGGTTGTGGTGCCACCATGGAGCTGGACCAGCCATGGTTCCCTCATGGTCGTGGTGCCACCACGGTTGTGATGCCACAATGGTTCTGGGTCATCTGTGGTGCCACCATGGTTCTGGATGATTGGGATCATGGTGCCACCGTGGTTTTGGATCATCTGTGGTGCCACCATGGTCATGGTACCACCCTGGTACTGGACCAGCCGTGGTGTTGCCGCCATGGTTCTGGGTCAACTGGGGTCATGGTGCCACCGTGGTTCTGGGTCTGCTGTGGTGCCACCATGGTGCTGGGGGCCCTCATGGTCATGGTGCCACCATGGAACTGGATGATCGGGGTCATGGTGCCACCATGGTGCTGGACCAGCCGTGGTGTTGCCGCCATGGTTCTGGGTCAACTGGGGTCATGGTGCCACCATGTCCATGTGTCCATCTGCCCGTGTGTCCATCTGTCCCTCTGTCCGCGTGTTCCTCTGTCCGTCCATCCTCTCCCTGCTCCACCGTGTCCACCCACAGGTGACCTCCAGTGCCACTGGGTGACATCGGTTCCCCGGGTGACCACATCGCCCTGGTCACCCTTGGCCACTCCCGGTCACCCCTGGTCACTCCTGGTCATCCCTGGTCACTCCTGGTCACCCTTGGCCACTCCCGGTCACCCCTGGTCACCCCTGGTCATCCCTGGTCACTCCTGGTCACTCCTGGTCACTCCTAGTTCCCCCTGGTCCCTCCTGGTCACCCCTAGTCACTCCTGGTCACCCCTGTGGTCACTCTGGTCACTCCCGTGGTCTCTCCGCAGGGATGGACGCCGGCTTCGTCTTCTTCCTCTTCCTCCTCATCGCCGCCCTCGTCACGGCCGGCGCCGCCCTGGCCTGCCACATCAGGTGGGTGGCCCTGGTGGCCCTGGTGGCCCTGCTGTCCCCTCAGCACCTCAGTGTCCCTGCCCTGGTGGCCCTGGTGGCAGCTCGGTGTCCCCACACCGGAGTGTTCCTGCTGTCCCCAATGTCCCTTCACTGTCCCCGCTGTCCCCAGTGTCACTTGGCTGTCCCTGCTGTCCCTGCTGTCACCTCACTGTCCCCTGTGTCACCTGGCTGTCCCCAATATCCCCCCATTGTCTCCAATGTCCCAAATCCTCCAATGTCCCCAATGTCCCCAGTGTCCCCAACCCTCACAGTGTCCCCAATGTCCCCTCAGTGTCCCTCAATCCCTTCAGTGTCCCAAATGTCCCCCCTGTCCCCAGTGTCCCCTCATTGTCCTCAATGTCCCAAATGTCCCCAATGTCCCCTTGTTGTCCCCATGTCCCCAGTGTCCCCAATGTCCCCAATGCCCCCAATGTCCCCAGTGTCACCCCAACATCCCAGTGCCCCCAATGTCCCCTGTGTCCCCTCAATGTCCCCACTGTCCCCAATGTCCCCGCTGTCCCCTCAATGTCCCCAATGTCCCCATGTCCCTATGTCCCAATGTTCCCAATGTCCCCAATATCCCCCCACTATCCCCAATCCAGTGTCCCTGCTTTCCCCCCTGTCCCCAATGTCCCCAATGTCCCCATGTCCCTATGTCCCAATGTTCCCAATGTCCCCAATCCCCCCACTATCCCCAGTGTCCCCAATGTCCCCAATGTCCCCATGTCCCAATGTCCCCGTGTCCCGCAGGCGCCGCCTGCAGCAGGCTCAGCTCATGAAGGGCCCCAACAAAATCATCCTGACCATGGAGGACCTGACCTTCATCAACACCCAGAGCAGCAAACAGGTGACACGGGGACAGCAGCGGGGACACGGGGACAGCAATGGGGACACTGGGACAGCAGTGGGGACACTGGGGACATTGGGGACACCATGACTGGGGACAGCAGCGGGGACACGGGGACAGCAATGGGGACCCTGGGGGGATTGGAGACATTGGGGGACACCCAGGACATTGGGGACAGCGGGGACAGCAGTGGGGACACTGGGGACAGCGGGGACATTAATGGGGACCCTGGGGACACTGGAGACAGTGGGGACAGCAGTGGGGACATTGGGGACACTGGGGGGATTTGGGACAGCCAGGTGACATTTGGGACAAGGGGGACAGCAATGGGACATTGGGGACAATGGGGACACTGAGGGTATTGGGGACATTGTGGGGACAGCAGAGACATTGAGGACATTGGGGACACCATGGGCACAATGGGGACAGTGGGGACACGAGGGGGCACTGGGGACATTGAGGACAGCAGTGGGGACATTGGGGACATTGGGGGATTGGGGACATTAATGGGGACATTGTGGACATTGGGGGGGTTGGGGACATTGTGGACATTGAGGGGGTTGGGGACATTGGGGACAGCAGTGAGTGACCCCGGTGACCCCGGTGTGACCCCGGTGTGACCCCGGTGTGACCCCGCTGTCCCCCTGTCCCCTCCCAGATGGACAGCAGCCACACCAGCCTGGCCGGGCAGAGCGGGGGTGACGCCCGCAGCGCCCACGGCACCCCCGGCCTCCCTCCCCTCCCCCTCCCCACCTGCGGGGGCGACAAGGCCAGGCCACCTCCCAGGGGACAGTGGTGGCCCCAGCTTGGGGACCCCGCCCCCGGCGATGATTGACAGCTGATCTCAGCCCCGCCCCTGAGAGGTGATTGACAGCTGATCTCAGGCCCTGGGCGATGATTGACAGCTGATAACCACAACCAGGAGATGATTGACAGCTGTTCTCAGCTGCCTAGGGCGATGATTGACAGCTGATCTCAGCCCCGCCCCTGAGAGGTGATTGACAGCTGATCTCAGCTTCTCTGGGCAATGATTGACAGCTGATTCTGGCTCCACCCCTAGGAAAATGATTGACAGCCATGCCCCACCCTGGGCAGTGATTGACAGCTGGCCCCGCCCCCAGACAATTATATACAGCTGTGCCCCGCCCCTGGCAATGATTGATTGACAGCTGGCCCCGCCCCGGGCGGTGATTGACAGCTGGCCCCGCCCCCGGGCGGTGATTGACAGCTGCTTTCCCGCAGGATAACGCGAGGGGCAGCAGCAACCTCCCCCTGCTGCTGCTGCTGCTTGACCAGCAGGGCCTTGTCGCCTCCGTGCAGGTAAGAGCGCCCCGTGGGGACATCACTGGGTCATGGGGACATTGAAGGTCTTGGGGACATTGAGATGTCACGGGACATCGTTGGGTCATGGGGACATTTTCGGGTCATGGGGACACCACTGGTGTCACTGGGACACCACTGGGACAGCGTTGGGTCGTCGTGGTCAAGGTTGGAGCGTGGGGACATTGAGGGGTCATGGGGACATTGAGAGGTCGTCATGGTCAAAGCTGGACCACGAGGACATCACTGGGCCATGGGGACATCATTGCCATTGGGGACACTGTCGGGCCATTGGACATTGTTGGGTCTTGGGGACACTGAGAGGCCATGGGGACATCGTTGGGTCATCGCGGTCAAGGTTGGACCACGGCAATCCATCGTTGGGTCTTGGGAACATCACTGGGTCATGCCCACCCCACCCCATGTCCCCTGCTGTCCCCGTGTCCCCTCCCGGTGTCCCCTGCCGTCCCCGCGTCCCCTCCAGCTGCGGGACCTGCGTCACGAGAACGTGAACCTGTTCCTGGGCTTCTTCCACGACTGCGGCATCTTCGCCATCGTGTCGGAGCACTGCTCGCGCGGCAGCCTCGAGGACCTGCTGCGCAACGAGGACATGAAGCTCGACTGGATGTTCAAGTCCTCCCTCCTCATCGACCTCATCAAGGTGCCCAAGGGGTGGCCCTGGTGGTCCCGTGGCCACGGGGTGACCACGGAGGTGGTGGTGGCCTTGGGTGTGGCCTTGGTCATGATGACCATGGTCGTGATGACCACGACCTTCGTGCTCATGGCATTGGTGACCATGGTGTTGATTGTTGACCATGACGTTGTTGACCATGGTGTTGTTGACCATGACATTGATAGTTGACCATGGCCTTGTTGACCATGGCGATGGTTGACTATAACATTGATTGCTGACCACGACGTTGATTGTTGACCGTGCCATTGCTGACCGTGCCGTTGTTGACCGTGGTCTTGACCAAGGCAATGGTCGACCATGACATTGATGGTTGACCATGGCATTGTTGACCATGCTGTTCTTGACCATGGCCTTGTTGACCATGGCAATGGCTGACCATGCCATCGATTGTTGTCCATGGCCTTGTTGACCATGGCCTTGTTGAGCACACCATTGTTGACCATGCTGTGCCATTGTTGACCGTGCCATTGTTGACCGTGCCGTTGTTGACCATAACATTGATGGTTGACCATGGCCTTGTTGACCATGGCCTTGTTGACCATGACATTAATGGTTGACCATGCCATTGTTGACCATGGCAATGGTTGACCATGACATTGATGGCTGACCATGACATTGATGGTTGAGCGTGCTGTTGTTGACCATAAGGTTGTTGACCATGATGTTGATTGTTGACCGTGGTGTTGTTGACCATACCATTGTTGACCATGACATAGATGGTTGACCATGGCCTTGTTGACAATGCCGTTGATTGTTGACCCCGCCAATGTTGCCCATGGCCTTGTTGACCATGGCCTTGTTGACCATGGCCTTGTTGACTCCGCCATTGTTGACCCTGCCATTGATTGTTGACCCCGCCATTGTTGACCCCGCGGTTGCTGACCCCGGCCTTGCTGACGGCGGCGCGGTGCCGGCAGGGCGTGCGGTACCTGCACCACCGCGACGTGGTGCACGGGCGGCTCAAGTCGCGGAACTGCGTGGTGGACGGGCGCTTCGTGCTCAAGGTCACCGACCACGGCTACAACCAACTGCTGGAGGCGCAGCGCGTGCCGGCCCCGCCCCCGCAGCCACACGGTGAGGGCAGGGCCCAGGGGCGTGGCTTCAGGGGTGGGGACTCATGGGTGTGGCATCAAGGGTGTGGCCTTGTGGGTGTGGCCTCATGGGCGTGGCATCAAGGTTGGGGTCTCATGGCTGTAGCCGCATGGGTGTGGCCTTGTGGGCGTGGCCTTGGGAGAATCAGTGGTTACCCTGTGGGGGTTGTGGCTTAGGGTGGGTGTGGCTCTTGGTGTGACCAATGGGGTGGGGCTAAAAGCAGGGGCATGGAACCCCTGAGGGAAGGGGCGTGGCCTTATGGAAGGGTGTGGCCTGTGGAAAAAGTCATGGCCTTTGATTTAGGGGTGTGACCTTTGGGTTGGGGGTGTGGCTTTTGGTTTAGGGGTGTGGCCTATGGGTGTGGTTGAGGCATTGAGAGGCTTACATTGGGGGCGTGGCCACAACCAATCCCACCGAATTAAAGGCGGGGTCTCCTTGGAGAGGGCGTGGCCTCATGTGTGGGCGTGGCCTGTCCATTCATTGGTGCCACCTCCCCTCGATGGTGGCCATAGGAAAGGGGGTGTGGCTTGTATTAAAGGGGGAGTGGCCCTGTAGTGACACACCCCCGTGTGGGCGTGGCTTCAAGCTGGGCATGTCTTACCCATGCTGGGGGCGTGGCCACACCCTCAAGCATCCTCCCATTGGCTTCTGGGTTGGAGTGGGCGTGGCATATCAGGACGGGTGTGTCCTGGGTGGGGTGGGCGTGTCCGTGTGGGCGTGTCCGAGCCTGGCCCCGCCCCCAGAGCGGCTGTGGACGGCTCCGGAGCTGCTGCGGGACGAGGCCCTGGAGCGCCGCGGGTCCTTCCGGGGCGACGTCTACGGCATCGGCATCATCATGCAGGAGGTGATCTGCAGGAGCCCCCCCTACTGCATGCTGGGGCTGCCCCCCGAAGGTGCGACCCCAAAACTGACCCCAAAAACGAGTTCCTCACCCCAAAAAACCCCCTAAGAACCCCCTGCATGCTGGAGCTGCCCCCCGAAGGTGCGACCCCAAAACTGACCCCAAAAACGAGTTCCTCACCCCAAAAAACCCCCTGAGCCCCCCCTGCATGCTGGGGCTGCCCCCCGAAGGTGCGACCCCAAAACCGACCCATAACTGACCCCGAGTGACCTCAAATGGCCCCAAATGCCCCCAAACTGACTCTGAGTGACCCTGAGTGACCCCAAAGTGACCCAAAACTCACCCATACCTGACTTGTTGACCATAACATTGATGGTTGACCATGGCCCCAAATGGCCCCAAATGCCCCCAAACTGACTCTGAGTGACCCTGAGTGACCCCAAAGTGACCCAAAACTCACCCATAACTGACCCCAAAGTGACCCCATAACTGACCCATACCTGACCCCAAACTGACCCAGAGCTGACCCATAACTGACCCCAAATCACCCAAAGTGACCCCAAATTACCACAAATGACCCTGAGTGACCCCAAATGACCACAAACTGACCTCAACTGACCCATAACTGACCCCAAACTGTCCTCAAATCACCCAAACTGACCCCAAATGACCCCGAGTGACCCCAAATGACCACAAATGACACCAAGTGACCCCAAACTGACCCCAAATGACCGCAAACTGACCTGAACTGAGCCATAACTGACCCCAAATGACCCCACCTGACCCCGAGTGACCCCGACTGACCCCGACTGACCCCGAGTGACCCCGGCTGCCCCCCACTGCCCGCAGAGATCATCGAGAAGGTGCAGCGGCCGCCGCCCCTGTGCCGCCCCGCGGTCTCGGCCGACCAGGCCCCGCTCGAGTGCATCCACCTGATGAAGGAGTGCTGGAGCGAGCAGCCCGAGAAGAGACCCACCATCGACCAGGTGTTCGACCAGGTGAGACTCACCTGGGGCAGGTGAGACCTGTACGGGTCTCTGTGTGGTTCTGTGGGGTCCCTGTGAGGTTCCATGGGGTTCCGTGGGGTTCCATTAGATTCCATGGTGTCTCCATGGAGTTCCATGAGGTTCTACGGGGTCTCCATAGGGTTTCCATGGGGTTCCATGGGGTTCCGTGGGGTTCCATGAGGTTCCTTGGGGTCTCCATGGGGTTTCCACGGGGTTCCTTGGGGTTCTGTGGGGTTCCGGGGGGTTCTATGGGATCTCCATGGGGTTCTGTGTGGTCTCCATAGGGTTTCTGTGGGGCTTCCATGGGGTTTTATGAAATTCTATGGGATTCTATGGGGTTCCATGGGATTCCATGAGATTCCATGGGGTTCCATGAGATTCCATGGGGTTCCATGGGGTTTCCATGGGTTTCCCGTGGCTCTGACCCACACCTTTTGGGGTCAGTTCAAGGGCATCAACAAGGGCCGCAAGACCAACATCATCAAACTCATGGGGTCTCCATGGGATTCCATGAGATTCCATGGGGGTCTCCATGGGATTCCATGAGATTCCATGGGGGTCTCCATGGGTTTCCATGAAGTTCCGTGGGGTTTCCATGAGATTCCATGGGATTCCATGTTCCATGGGGTTTTATGAAATTCTATGGGATTCTATGGGGTTCCATGGGATTCCATGAGATTCCATGGGGTTCCGTGGGGTTTCCATGAGATTCCGTGGGGTTTCCGTGGGGTTTCCATGGAGTTCCATGGGAGCTGACCCACACCTTTTCGGGGCAGTTCAAGGGCATCAACAAGGGCCGCAAGACCAACGCCATCCACCCCATGGGGTCTCCATGGGATTCCATGGAGTTCCATGAGGTTCTACGGGGTTTCATGAGGTTCTCCGGGGTTCCATGGGATTCCATGAGATTCCATGGGGTTCCGTGGGGTTTCCATGAGATTCCATGAGGTTCCATGGGATTCCATGAGATTCCATGGGGTTCCGTGGGGTTTCCATGGAGTTCCGTGGGACCTGACCCACACCTTTTCGGGGCAGTTCAAGGGCATCAACAAGGGCCGCAAGACCAACGTCATCGACCCCGTGGGGATCCCTGGGGCTCTGTGGGGTCTCCATGGGATTCTATGGGGTCTCCATAGGGTTTCTATGGGGTTCCATGGAGTTCCATGTGGTTCCATGTGGTTCCATGAGGTTCTACCAGGTTCCATGGCATTCCATCAGATTTCATGGGGTTTCTATGGGGTTCCATGTCGTTCCATGAGGTTCTATGGGGTTCTATGAGATTCCATGGGGTCTCCATGAGGTTCCACGGGTTTCCATGAGATTCCATGAGATTCCATAGGGTTCCATGGGGTTCCATGTTGTTCCATGGGATTCCATGAGATTCCATGGGGTTCCGTGGGGTTTCCATGAGATTCCATGGCGTTCCATGAGATTCCATGGGGTCTCCATGAGATTCCATGGGATTCCATGGGATTCCATGAGATTCCATGGAGTTCCGTGGGGTTTCCATGGGGTTCCATGGGAGCTGACCCACACCTTTTCGGGGCAGTTCAAGGGCATCAACAAGGGCCGCAAGACCAACGTCATCCACCCCATGGGGTCTCCATGGGGCTCTGTGGGGTCTCCATGGGGTTCCGTGGGGTTCCATGGGATTCCATGGGATTCCATGAGATTCCATGGGGTTCCGTGGGGTTTCCATGAGATTCCATGAGGTTCCATGGGATTCCATGAGATTCCATGGGGTTCCGTGGGGTTTCCGTGGGGTTTCCATGAGATTCCATGGGGTTCCGTGGGGTTTCCATGGGATTCCGTGGGGTTTCCGTGGGGTTTCCATGGAGTTCCATGGGAGCTGACCCACACCTTTTGGGGGCAGTTCAAGGGCATCAACAAGGGCCGCAAGACCAACATCATCGACTCGATGCTGCGCATGCTGGAGCAGTACAGCAGCAACCTGGAGGACCTGATCCGCGAGCGGACCGAGGAGCTCGAGATCGAGAAGCAGAAGACCGACAAGCTCCTGACCCAGATGCTGCCGCCGTGGGTGGCCATGGGGGGCCGGGGGTGGTCA